GTCCTGCAGGATGCCTTCAGTCTCCAGGGTCCAGAGTTTACATTGGACATTACTGCAGTCAAGTGAATGAAAAATCTGGAGCAACTACATTAAGATTCATTTACCATTATATTAACCCTTTTGAATATTAAAATACCTATAAACTACTGTCATTTAGTTTGTCATAAGCTATATTAATAAAATGTACAGTCTATGATCTTACACAATACTTTATTAGCTTTATTGGTACAGCTTGGATTTCTGTACATTTCCTAACTATCTTTTGGATAATTGACGTGCTGAATCATGCTCTGAATACCATGGTGCAGTCTTGGAAATGCGTTTTTACCGCTGGGGTGATCACATGACACGGGCGGAAGCTGATTCATAGTGCACGCTGAAACTCCCGCGAACGCAGCTATTTACTCTTTCCTCTCTTCGCAGTATCACCGGTGAGTCTCTACATTCTTTTCTCATTACGAGCCATCCTAAATCCAAGTTTGTGTTTATCGTGAAAGTCAGTTAAAACTAAGGAAAACTTGAAGGTATGAATTGGGTTCATGTGGCGTTGTTAAATGTAGCTACGTGCGGACAGTAACTAGACCAGGCCATTGATTTTCTTGCGTTCTCAGCTAACTTAGCCGTTAGCTCAATGAGAAATCTTCCATGCCGTGCTAGCTAACAGGTTAGCAGGAACAGCTCACCCTCATTTCACTGCTTTGTTCTCAAGATTCGCTTATTTCCATAACTTGGTGCGTTCACTGTTGTTGACAAAACCAATCTTTAAGGCTTATTGTGTAAAGTTTCATATTTGTTTGTTGTTGAGCTATCAACGGTTACATGGAACACATTTGATGGTGTTCAAGTCGGAATGTTCCAGTCGAACAAGAAAAAGTGCGGTTGCGCGTAGTATGGCGCACTCTAACGTTAACGAACGTTGTTAGCTAGCTAACAACTGCTAGCGTTAAAATGCAGTCTCATAAGGGAGCCTGTCGTTTGCTCATTCAAATTTGTCGTGCAGCATCTCTTAAATTTATTTGGTGTACAGTGCAATTTGAGTTAATTCAAATGTTAAGATAACGCTAACGTTACATGCTATCGCTAACGCAGCGGTAGCTTGGATAGAAAATGCTAGACCTGGTTATTGCCAGGTAATCTATTGGCCGTAAAGTAACTCGCTCAAATCGTAAAAACGCTAACAAACCGTTGATTTTGTGCCATAGTCATTTTCACTTATCACATTTTCACTTTAACGCCCAGTCAGGTAACTGGTAACTCCTCTATCTTAACATTAATGGTGGTTGTCTAACGCCATCTCGACAGACAAGAGGGTAACTGAAAGCGTGCTAAACATCCCGCCTGGTTTTGTTTCTCTCAGATAAACCGCAACAACGGCGGACTCAATGGCACAGTGTGTACCGGTGGCGGTGTTCAAGGTAAGCATTTGTTGCATGATATCACATAACCAATGTACTAAACATAGCATTATATCTTGCAAGTGTCATTTGTGGTATTAACATTAGCTATGTCAGCGGTTATGCCAACCAGTACCAACTAGTTTGAGGTTAGACTAACTGCTCTCTTTCTAATAAATAGCTGGTGTTGGTAGGAGATGGAGGCACCGGAAAAACGACTTTCGTGAAGAGGCACATTACAGGGGAGTTTGAGAAGAAATATGTTGGTGAGTATCTTCATGTTGTGAATCATCATATTACAGATAACCAGTTAAGTATCGCACGGAGTTGAAGTCTCCTGGTGTTTATTCAGTTGCAGTAGACGCGGTCAGATCAACATTATAATGGGCCCAGATTCAAAATGTGAGCTGCGGGCACCTGTTGAGCACCTTGGGCTCAGATACATTAGTATTGCCATGTGTTTCACCTGATAAATAACAAGAAATTGCAGTACAGATAAGCTAGACTAGACTAGGTTTAATGTAATTTAGAAATGATGTGACTGTTGCATGGTTTGTCCACCAGGGAACAGTGACTAGTTTTATGACGTTTCTTTATCACAAACATGTTTTGTGTTTCAGTTTTTTTTTTCCTTTGCAATTATACATTGGCTCATAATGTAATTTCCATGTTATATTCTCTTTGTACTGGTCATATAATGTAATTTTGTTGCACTTGATTTTTAATGTATTTGCTGCACTGCCTTTTGGTGGGAAAAATATCTTAACCTGAAAAGAAAAATAAAGGGGTGCTGTGGTCTACTTAAGCAATTAAACTTCATGTTAACACTGATATTCTTGATGATTCATTTTATTATTTTTAGTCTTCCCTATTTGTCTGAAATGTTACCTTGTTGTTTTCCCTCAAAGTATAATTTTGTCATTTTCCACCTTTCTTGATTTTGTGGCCCCTTGCTTGTAATTCTAGCTACACTGGGAGTAGAGGTGCACCCACTGATGTTCCACACAAACAGAGGCGCCATCAAGTACAATGTGTGGGACACGGCTGGTCAGGAGAAGTTTGGAGGCCTGAGAGATGGCTACTATATTCAAGGTGCTCTTTACCATTAACACACTGTTAATCCTAAATAGTTCTCTTTAGTCTCTATTTACTATTAAATGCAACCCCCTCCCCTACATCAAATAGTGTTACAACCTTCTGTTACCTCTACAGCTCAGTGTGCTGTCATCATGTTTGATGTCACCTCTCGAGTCACCTATAAGAACGTGCCCAACTGGCATCGTGACCTGGTCCGTGTCTGTGAGAACATTCCCATCGTCCTCTGCGGCAATAAGGTGGACATTAAAGACAGGAAAGTTAAAGCCAAGAGCATCGTCTTTCACCGCAAAAAGAATCTGCAGGTAATCACTATGCTTAATAAAAGTTATCATCAATGTGCCCATACTTTTGCACATTTGTTACATGTGTGAATTATATAAAGCATTGGTTTGAGTTTTTGTTCTGAACAATTGTTTTTGTTTCCTACTGCTGTTTCTAGTACTATGATATTTCTGCCAAGAGTAACTACAACTTTGAAAAGCCTTTCCTGTGGCTAGCAAGGAAGTTGATTGGCGACCCCAACTTGGAATTTGTGGCAATGCCTGCCCTCGCGCCCCCAGAGGTCGTCATGGACCCAAACCTTGCCGCTAAGTATGAGGAAGAGCTTCAAGTAAGTAACTTAAAGCAAGTAACTATACATGCATATTTCTATTTCACTTTGACATTAAAGAGATTTTTGTTATTTTTGCCAGAAAAGCCAAAATATATTTACCATGATTGATTTGTAAAATCAATAAAAGGGTAAAACACCCAAGGGGGTAAATACTTTTTATAGGCACTGTATACACACAGGCCTGCCCCCTAGTTTGGGAACCACTGCTTTAGGGCACTATATAATTTGCCTAAGCAAATTATACTAAAACGAACCTGGCAGGACTTCAGTTTTACTGTGAAAATCTGATAAATGATTTCTTTTTGTCTTCCACTCCAGGTTGCATCACAAACAGCACTCCCAGATGAAGAAGATGACCTCTAACATGTTACCTGAGTTTTCCTTCTCTCCCCCAGCTGTGGACAGGAAGTTGCAGGAGTTTTGGCCCCTTTACTGTAAAATCCCCTTTCAGATTTGTTTTTCTTATTTTTGATTTTTTTTTTTTTGTTTTAAAGCCAAGAAAAAAATTTAGTGCAAAAAGTTGTGGTTCTAGTTTCAGTGTATAAGGCGCACCCACCCTAGCGATGTCGTTGGCATGCCAACGTGCTACTTATCATCGAGCACCCTCCACTACACTTGTTCAGCTCGCCTAATGCTGTTGTATGGTGTACTGGAAGCACAGGGGAGTTAACTTTGAATAAAAACATTCTCAATATAACTTGTCTATGTTTGTTTAAATTTCTCAATGATTTCCCAGAAATTCATTGGTCTTCCATTATTCTGTGGCTAAAGAAATGTCACAACCTGGGCAATTAAAACCAAAATTGTATGCTTTATGTGGTTCTGTAAACTAAAGTTGAATGTGTTCTAGAAACTTGCATTTAGATGAGATCAATGCATATGTGATGTAGCAAAGCTGGACTATCAGATACTATCCATTTGGCCTTGTATATCCCAGGTTCATATGTCATTTTCATACTTTTGTATATCAGTGTATAATCTGCTGTGCACCTGTGTAGATGATAAAAAATGGTATTTGTGCAGTAGGAACTGGGGGTAATGGGGCACAATGGTGCTTTAATGGGGAAATGGATGGAAAAATATTCAAGTTCTTTCCAGTTAAAGTATGGGCATGTCTTGTAACATGCTTAAAACGATGGCCACCAGGTGTCAGCTATGTTCGTTGAGTCGGTGCATATGCACATTGGTGACGTGTGTTCTACTGCGGTTACTATGCATCTGGGTTAGGATGCCATTACATCATACAGCCCCACTGTTTCACCAAGTATAACACAAAATGAGGTTTCATTTTAACCAGTTAGATTTGGTGTTGACCTATATGAAAAATAGTCATGTTATAGGCCCACAAGACTTGGGAGGTGAGACATTAACATAACCATAGCATCTCATTATTCAGGCAGTTAGCAAGCTTAAATAAAACATGCATATATATATATAATATACACATCTCTGAAGTTTGCTTTACACACGTATTTGCAGTTTGAATTGGTTAATTTTCTTATCTGGCCTGTTGGCATCAATAAGTTTGCTCAGCAATATAAAAGCAGGTGGTTACTCTCCTGATTGGCTGAGTCCAACCCAATGGTACCATGATCTAGTTTTTTTTTTTTTTTAATCAGGATAACATCTACAAATTCTGCCTTCCTTTTTCTATAGGACTTTCAAAACTGAAGAAGTGTTTGGCTAACACTTTGCTGCATTCAAGTTACATTACAAAGGTGAAACTGTGACTTGCAATACCGTAATGCATATTGTAGCTTTAAAATAATTATTCTGCTTGAGGTACCACTTGGCACATGTGGAGTGTATTTTATACATTCAGTAGCCTACAGACAAGATGAATGAGCCAAATAAGTGAACACTGAGTTACTAATATCTTATTACTGGCTCTGCACTGCCAGTCCTTTTATGCTCTCCTCAGGGCCCAAATTGCTGATCATTCTTGATAAATTTCTTTATAACAAGGCACAGCAGAGGATGTACTTCCTGCTCCAGCTCAGGAAGTTTGACCTGCCTCAGCAACTGCTGATACAGTTCTACAGAGGAATCATCCAGTCCATCACTGTCTGGTTTGGCTCAGCAACCAAACAGGACAAGTACAGACTTCAGCGAACAGTCAGGTCTGCAAAAAAAGGTCACTGGTGCAACCCTGCCCTCCATGGAGGACCTGTGCACCTCACGGGTCAAAAGGAGGGTGGAGAGGATCACTGCAGACCCCTCACACCCTGGACCTTTGGACGGCGTTACAGGTCACTGTGTGCCAAGACAACCAGGTACAAGGACAGTTTCTTCCCCCAGGCCATCACTCTGATGAACACTTGACCCACGATGGTATGACTGGAGAAAAACATTCAGCGAAATATCTGTAAATGTACATTGTACAGACTATTCATATCCATACAGGTCTCTACTTTTAAGTACTTTTAAGTATTTTTATTCCTATTTATCCCATTTCACGATGAGCATTCCTTTGTCTGTCTGCATTGTTTACTGCCCATTTTGCATTGTTTGCACTGTTTGTTGCTTGTAGACACTGCTTTGTTATATTACACAGCCTTATACTGGTTTACTGTTTACTTGCCCCTTGCATGGGGATATGTACATACACATTGAGAGCCGATGTACTAGAGTCAAATTCCTCATGTGTCCAACACACCTGGCCAATAAAGAAGATTCTGATTCTAATAACAAATCTAAATGGGAAGGCTTCAAATCCTGCTTTCATTATCAATCTTTCTTCATCTTCTTGTATAGGGAAATCATGTGACACAGTCAGAATTGCCAGACCAGTTACTGAACAGACCTTGTGGTGAAATTGTTTCTATGTGTTTATTTTTCACCAGGGAGTCACAGGTCGATTATGACCAGAAGTCATTTAGTGTGTCTTTATAGTTTGGCATGACCTTATGATAGTTTTGCATTTCTCTGTGATTGTTTTGCATCTCATTTTTATTGTTCTATGTCTGTCTGCAGTCTTTGTCTCTCTTTATAGACATTGTTGTCTCTTTATAGTTGTCCTGGGCCTGTGCCTGGTAGGCCTGTTTGATAACCCATCCAAGTAGAGGATGACAGTGTACTGTCATCGCATTGCAATGTAAGCCATGTACTTTTCATTTGAGTTCCTGGGCAGGATATTAAATATCACTGCGTTTGCAATTTTACAAATCATCTGACATATTAAATTAATAGAGGGAAACTGTCAAGCCATTCTCTATAGCAGAGAAGCGAGGGAATTATTCTTACAACACCTGAATGCATCATCTGTGCAGGTGACTCAGGGCGTGGTTTCATCCCAGCAGACAGTTTGTCTGCGCATGCGTGAGCCAGAGAAGTGCGTTTTAGAATGATTACTGGCGACCGGCGGAGAGATTATACGGTTCTACACAACGGTTGTTTTAATCCCCTGTGCAAGGAGATTTAGCAAAGAAAAACTGGCCTCAAACCCAGCAGCCATATTGTATGGGAACAACGGAAAGAAAAGTTGTTTTTTTTCAGACATCCTGTCAAGACTTTTGAGGAGTTTAATTTTCTCTCTTACTGGCGGTGGGTTTCCTTGGGTCAGCTAGTTTTCCAGCTGGCTGATGAATTCAGAGATTGGGGCTAGTTTTTGATCCAGTTTACGGAAGACTGCGGTTATCTCTTTGGTTTTAGTCATTTTAACTTAACCGTGTGAAACATGAAGGACCGATTGGAGCAACTTAAAGCGGTAAGTAAAGACAAGGAAATGTTATATTAGTGTTTTCTTTCCTCTAGTCTTATTGTCTTGGCATATTTTAATGGGCCTCTGAACGTAAATGTTTGTCATAACCTACAACATGAGTTTGAACCAGTAATGTGCCATGGGATGACATCACTTCTGTGGTGAATGTAGTAACACAGCAGGTTGGAAAGCGATTTAAAATGGGGATGCCAGGTAAAAGTGCTTCAGATATAATCTTCAGTTTCTTTACAAACTGCCATGTTGTATGGCTTGACAGTAAGGTGTCAGAGATTTAATAATAATCTAATTGTTTTCAGTTGAACTGCATTACCAGAAGTCATCTTAAAAGTTGTGTATTTAAGTTGCTGCTCTGATTATTATTGCTTCCTGTAATATGTTTTAGTCCTGTGTATAACCCATTGACCCCTTTACCCAGCTACAACACGGGGCACTCCTTGAAAACTATAACAGATCATTCTTGTTTTCATGACCACTGACTTACCATTAGTGTTGAATTGAATAATTGACTTCCAAAAAGTTCATTTTCGAGTTGTTTTTCTATCAAAAATGTAAAAGGAAGTCTCACTGTAGCTTCTGAATCATGATGGCTTTTACTAACAGTATGATCTTTGGGTGTTGGGATGACAATTGAACAAAACAAGCAAGACTTTTAATGGAAGTTTTCAGCTTTTTCCAGCATTTTATAGACTACTAGTGATTAATTCATCATTGAAAAGTTAAGAGAAACTAATTAGTAATAATAACAATAGTATTTATGAGTAGTATATTCACACAGTGTGTACTTGATCATCACAGTCAGATTAGCATTTTAGGCTACATATATTCATTAGAACCAAACTATTCATTAGCAGTAGAAGCACCCATTTTTATTAAACCTTTCTGTGTTGAGAACCGTAAACTCACTTGCTCCCTAATGGGTTGAGGCCTTGATATTATTGTAACCTAAGTCGGGATGTGTTGCTATAGCTACCTGAAACTCCTTGCCAAATATTTGCTATTTAAAGTTGATGACCTCCCCAAGGCACCTGTAATTCACACAGCTGGCTTCTTTTCAGGGGAAGGAAGTACAAATAGTAAGTGAAATAGGCCAGTTTTAAGGAAGTTGTCTACATGTTAAGACCTTTTAGGGTTGTATGGCTGCTATACTATAATAGGTTCTTCTATGTTAACTGTTTTCTCCAGTCTTTTCTCCTCACTTTCTTTATCTTTGTACCTTATCCATGCACACCCACTGCCTTCATTTTCCTCCATGAGTTTCCTTTCTAATGTTTAACTTGCTGGCTGCAATCTAGGCTGTATGTAGGGACACGTGTGCATATCTTCATGTGTATGTGGTCTCATGCCAACAGTGTGATCACATCACCTGACACTGTAGATCTGGAGAAATTTGGAGAGCAAGGAGCAGCAGGAAATGATATATCATTAAGGCACAGTGTTCAGTAAGCAGTTGAATATACTTTCTTGTTTGCCATATGCCATTACCAGGAGTGAAGTGAAAGCAGATGTTAATTTAACAGTAGGCTTTTGTTATTCTGGCATTTTGTTTGATTTTCAGATGTATTGTCATTCAAAACCATATCCTCTTCAGTTCTCTATACAGTATTTCCCCATGGGTCTAGTGGACTACTGTTGTTACTTTGCTTCCCCACCTGGCTCAGATTTCAGCACAATGAATGGGTGAAACTGCCACAGTGCTAACGTGGGTTCTTCTGTGGCACTTGGAGTTTTTAAATCCCTTGTCAGATTTCAGCTTTGCATTAACACAAGTCCTGGCGGAGTAATTTGGCTTCTGTCACCATGCTGCTGTAAATCTGACACCAGATCCCCGTCCTGCTGCTGTGATAGCTGGTGGCTCATTTTCTAAGTCATCCAATGGGGAAATCTAATGATAGAGTTGCAATTATTTTCATTACTCATTAATTTGTTGAATATTCACTTGATTGGTATCTTGAGTTGTAAAATGTCAAAACTGTGAAATATGACCTTTCCCATTTCCTAAAGCCCAGTGCTCCACAACCCAATGCTATTCAATTTACCTAAATTACTGTATATACTAAGAAAATCTGCAAATCCTCACAATCTTCCCTTAATCTGGGAAAGGTTCAGCATTTTCTTGTCTTTCTATTGGCTAACCGATTAATTGTCAACTGTCACAGCCCTACAAATGTACACATTAGTTCAGCTTGGTTTAGTCATTGTTCACATCATTTTTCTCAGTGGTTTTCCTTCTCAACCTGATTTTCAGAGACAAAGTTTAAAGGTTTATCACCTCCCAGGTTCTTTTAAGACAATGCAGTCATGGGAATGATGAGAGAGGGTTGAACATTCAACCTGGGCCATGATCGGAGTCATGCTCTTTGTGTTTACATAGTTTTGTATATGACGGTGAGTCATAGAAGTCACTTTTGGTGAGCTTCATTGTGTAGAGGCTTATAGGATCAGCTCAGTCTTTGTACTTGCCTGTGTACAGTGTGTGTCTTTGTAATGCTTCAGTTTTCTAATCATGGTTTTGACCGCTCTTTACTGTGTTGCTTATGTTGTCTGACTGATTTTATTGTATTTCAGAAGCACGGGATCACTGTGTATGCTGCAGTGTAAAACCTCTGTCTAATCATATGACCATGAAGAAACAAGCCAACATCTCAGCTTCATTTATGGTTTTCTAATCATGATGTCCAGTTATCCACCGTGTTTCTTGAGGTTTTGATATGATTAAGCACATGATTATCACAGTTCTGTCATTTTTGGTGAGGATAAAAGAGAAAATCTACTTTACTGCTGGCTGCACGGTTCACACTGTCAACATTTTGGCACAGTTGCACAAAGTGATATTAAATCTAGTTTGTTCATTGCATATAAATTTGTGTGTCAAGCCACATATCTGCTGTTTCTTTGGGTGAGGATAGGGTGCAGGGATGCTTTGTGTTAAGAGCAGGTTAGGTCTGGGAAATGGTGTTGCTTATTGTCGAGCTCTGAACATTTATGACGACATGGCCAAATAATGGGTAAACATCACAGTTAATCTTAAAGGATTGGTCATTTTCTGTGTTAATAGTATTTAAAACCAACAATGAATCCAGGTTAAAGACTGACAGACCAGTAACAGTGAGTAGAGGGAATTCACTGTATGGTGATTGTCCAAACTGTTAATATCGAAAATGTCCAATTTATTGTTTAATCTAGTTCTTTTCACATATGCTTTTCAAACATTTCTCACACTGCTTTTTCAAAACCACAGCCCCAATGGTGTGATCAAAAACAGTGTGAGAGTTCTGCAATTAAAGCAAGTGTATGTGTATTGGCTTATGTTCCTGAATTTGTTTTGTGCCTAACAGTGACAGATGTCTCTGTGTTGAATCATAAAATAACAAGAAAAGTTGTAAATGTTTTCTTCACATACAGTTGATCCCCCTGAACGTTCCCGATTGTCAGTTTTTACATTAAAGCAAGTGCTGGTGTATCCTTTGTCTGCTTCAAAGGAGTTGCTGCATACTTTAGTCGCTTTCCCCTTATTTTGCCGAGTGAGCGACACTGGAAGGAAGTGAGTGCATGTTCTTATCACTCCTCTGCAGAAACGCTGTGTGAGGGAGCATAATGAGCGAGCCAGGGTGCAGCACACGCTGGAAAAACTCGCTGAGAATTCCAAAAACAAGCAGTGTGTCCACGTGTGCGTCCAGGGAACTCGGTGCTCACAATTGTTGTTAGTTACAGCATGAGGTAAATAGTCGAGGCTGCATTTGCAATTCAAATTTTAGCTAAGGGGTAGAAGGTTAAAGACGGTTAAGGACAAACCAGCTGCTGTTGTAATAAATGTTAGAACCCAGATGGGCTGCAATGCAATTTTTGTTATTGATTAATTTACTGCTCATTTTGGGGAGGAGTATCACACCTCAGTACTTCAGATACTATTGAATGTGTTATTTTTCCTTGTTCATTTTTCATGCTTTCACTTATGTTATGACGCATTAAAGTCAAATGTCAAGACTTTGGAGTTTCAGTCACCCATTAGAAAGCAGAAACACACCTGTGTGAAGAGCCCAGTCAGTCAGCAAGACTCCTCAGATGCCCAGTGTAAACATGTTGACTTAGTAATCCTAAGGAAGGGAACGAGTGAAACTGACTGTTTTGTATAACTCATTATGAGTTTTTTTCTATTTCCCCTCCATCTAACAATGTCACAGCATGGCCCTGTGATATCTGTTTGCACTGTACCTAAGCTGTGGGTGGAGTTCCTGGGTCCAGCCCTAGACTTTAACTGTGTAAATTCACCAGCAGTGCTGAGCTCTATGTGGCCAACCTCCCATACTGCTCTGTGTCACTGCCTGTCCCTTGTGACGTGTTGATGACTTCAGCAGAGTAAAGCTTGTTTTTATTTGGGTGGGGTCTGATTATGATTAGATCAGTGTTTCTGGTTGACATACTGAGCTACTAACCAGGAAGCAAGTTCGTTAGCATGGCCGTTAGTTGTTGTTCACGGTCTAAATACTGTTTAGTGGCTTTTCCGCCCTGACCAGAAATGAGAAATGATTTGTATTTTGGGACATGAAAAGGATCAGATTGAAAGGCTGATTAATTACACTACCAGTCAAAGGCTTGGACACAATCTCCAATTGCATTGAATGGGTATAGTGTGTCCAAACCTTTGACTGACAGTGTACACAGATAGACAAGTACAAGATATCAGTTGTCAGTCTTCAGACATGAGTAAAACTCTTTGTTTTGGCCTGTGAAATCTCAGACTTGTTTGATGATTTTTGAGACTTAGGACTACGGCTGCATATTAAATCTCAATAACAATTGTGTCCATAGCACAGAATATTGAAAGCGGGCCACTTTTTATTAATTTATTTGTTTGACTTGTTCAACACTTGTTCTTTGATTCTTTTATTTCCTGTTTAAATTACAACCTAATTTTCCTAATTTATTGTGCTTTTTATGGGTCCAGCTCTTGTAAAGCTGCCTTGTGTTGTGACAGGAATAAGGAATAATTCAACATTTTGTCAAGAGTTAGATGAGAAGACTGGTTCCATTCTCAAGACTGTGTGCTAAATTTAAAGTTAACATCAGCAGCAGATTAGCTTAGCATTAACATGAAAAAAAACGGCAAGATGTGATGAGGAGAGAATCTGCCTACAGCAGCTCACAAAGTAACACATTATGTGTTTGCTTATTCCATAAAACGCTAGGTGTAAAAACAAAAGGCTCTGGGTTTGTGGCTGGTTTAGACTATTTCTTGGCCGTAATTTAATGGAGTTTCTGCTGGTTTCACCTCCATGTGACCACAAGACTCCAGGAAATAGTCTGGATGTTTCTCAACGCATTTAGGTAATTGGGCTTATTTGTCTTGTTTTTTTTTTGTTGTTGTTTTTTTTTTTTTATATGCCACAATGTTATTGAAAAAAGTACTGTGGCTTGATTTGTATTTGCACTGGTATCAAAGCTTTGCTACCTAGCCTTACATAAGAAATAGAGCGTGCCCACAGCATCAAAAGACACAAAAACAATCGATGTACGCAGGAACAGGTTGTGTACACAGGGTTGTGAATGAATTTTGGAACCATGTTTTGTCCTCACGCTTGTTGTTGAACAGGATGTCTGTAATTATTTAGTCGTGCTGCATATTTATCTGAGTCATAGAAAACCCATTTAATGATCCTGCAGATAAAAATTTAAGGTGGGTATATTTTTCTTTAAAGGGAAGGCAAGCTTGTCTGCAGAGCATCTTTCAACAACAATGCAGTTCAAAGTACTTTACAGACGGTCATGGTAAAGAGAAACTACACCCTCCTTTAGTTCTGTGTTTTATCAGAGGCTAAAAACAATTGTGTAGACCACCAACCTTTAATCTCAAAGTGCTGTTGACATGTTAGAGAAGCCTGCAATACCCTTCACGCGTTCTTTCTCACTAGAGCTAGTCTGATAAAGTCTTTGCTTTTTTTTTTATTTTTTTTTTATGTCAGACGTGTGATCAAGATGATGACGAGGTGGAGATTGCTATGGATAACGCAGCCTTCATGGATGATTTCTTCTCTCAGGTGAGGGTTACTATCAGTGCGTTAGTGTGTGCTGTGCATCTTTTGCTCAGTGAGGACATATTGTTTTCTAAGTTTTTCCATTTTTGTCATTTGCACACATTTGAAATCTCTGTGATCTGTGTTTCAGATTGAGGAAATCAGGAGCAGTATTGATAAAATTGATGCTAATGTAGCTGAAGTCAAAAAACTTTACTCGGTCATCCTGTCTGCGCCCACATCAGATCAGAGTAAGATAACTTTCCGCTGCCAGTTTCTTTAGTTTTGTTTTGTTTTTTGCATCTGTTCTCTCTTGTCACCCTTTTTACGTAGGGTCATATTAAGCATGTCTTACTAAACCTACCCCTTACTAAAGTTTCTCCTTTACAAGCTGCATTTCCATGCATTTTTGTGTCCCAAATCAAATTCAATTTGACTTTTTCTAAGAAGAACTCTAAAATATTCTTGTACCCAGTCGTAAAAATGCTAATTTCCTGTAGCAGCATGATAAGAAACTGTCTGTTAATACAGCATCACCTGTTTTGTAAAATGCCAGATCATTCCCTAATATCACTTAAGTGTTGCTTGATTTGGGAATGCTTCTTATTTGCTCTTTCTAGATTTGTATTTGCAGTAACTCCTTTGTTAACATTCTTGGCTGTCTTGCCATATGGCTCTTCCTTTCCAGAAACACAGGATGAATTGGAGGCAATCACCGGCGAAATAAAGAAGATGGCCAACAGTGCAAGAAACAAACTAAAGAGTGAGACTGTCTCCTACCACACACACACACAGCTTGTCAGTTAGAATAATGGGGATGTTGAAACTAAAACATAAATCTCTTGGTTGGCTTCCCAGCCATCGAGAGGAATCTGGAGTCAGAAGAGCAGGAGAGGCTATCGGCTGACATACGGATACGTAAATCACAGGTAAATTATGTCCATCTCAGGTGTAATATGGCTTCCACTTAACACTGGTTTCACAGGAAACGCATCTATGACCTAGGCCTCTGTTGCTGTGCGTGTATTAAACCATAGCAACAGCACTGAAACATCAGCACCAACGACAACCTTTTAAACACCAATAACCACAAGTTGACCTGGACCAAGAGAATCATGCAGAGGATCTTTCTTGTAAAAGCACATTACCTAGCAATTGAATCTCCAATGAATATATAGACTATATTTTGAAGTACAATTTAAAATTAATAGTTCTTTAAATAAAATGACTTATGTTTTTAATTTGATAACATATAACAACCAGCTGTCAAGTGTCCATGATATAAGCAGGATAATACCCTCCAAGTTCCAAGATTGTAATGGATGAAGCCAAAGAAGTGTCTTATCCCTTACTTAAAACATTAACAAAAATGTGTTTTTCCTTGGTATAAAAAATGTGTTTGACATTTGTCAGATGCGTTTTAAGTTCTGAGGTTTATGCCTTACTTGAAACTGTCTGCACATCCACTAAGATTACTCGTGTGTTTTTCTACCTTCTCTCAGCATGCAGTTCTGTCAAGGAAGTTTGTTGAGGTAATGACAAAGTATAACGAAGCCCAGGTGGAATTCAGGGAGAAGACTAAAGGACGTATTCAGAGACAGCTCGAGATCAGTGAGTGACACCAGCACACACGGCCAAGGAGTCAGGTGACGGTCCTATTCTGTGTCATTGAACCTTTTCCTTTCCTTTCCAGCTGGAAGAGTAACAACAGATGAAGAACTGGAAGAGATGTTGGAGAGTGGTAATGCTGCTGTATTCACTGCGGGGGTAAGTGTGTGTGTGCGTGAGCATGCATTTCCGCTTTTTTTTTTTTTTTTTTTTTTTTTAAACAGTGCTCTAACATTAACTTTGCTGTAACGCTGATGTAGTTGAACTGAGAAAAAGCTGCATTATTAAGCAAGATCGTTGGTACAACTTTGGACGATGTATCAAACTTCTATAAGGTCAGACCTGAAAAAGGCCAAGTCCATCTCAGCTGATCCCAGTCATTCTTCGTTTGGAGAGTTTAAACTGTTTCCATCTGGTCGTAGGTACAGGCAGCCAAGATGCAGAACAAACAAGTTTATAAATTCTCTTGTCGCAGCTGCCATTTGTTTCTTGTAAATGTTCAGATGAGTATTGTGCCCTCTTTTCAGTCTATTTTCACTATTCATTTCCTGTTAGTGTTTTGTGGATGATGCTGTGGTGACTGTGGATGTACTACTGGGTATACAAAGATTTGCCCTTTGGGGATAATATAGGCTTATCTTATCTTATCTCACATTGTCAGTTGCTTAGTAAAACTTAATATGCATTGTATTAACAGGCTAAAGATTAGCTGTGCTTGTGATTTGCCCTGTATCAGCTTTACTGAAGAGTGAATGAAGCATTTGCAAAGATACAAAAACACCAAGCACCATGTATGAAAAACATGAATCTGGTTTGTTTATGTGGAATCACGCTGGAAGTTTAGGTGTCTCCTCAGTAAACAGTAGTTGTATCTAAAATTTATTTTGACCAGGCTAAGAGTCAGAGCTACAACTGGATGACAGGTTTTATTAAACTGTCATTTCCTTACATTTTTTTGGTGCTAAATAATAACACACTCATTTTCGTTTCTTCCTGTTTTCTAGCTAGCTGCCTTTTAAATGAAGAAGCAAACTATAGCAGTGCATAATCTTGGTCGCACTAATGAGGTGTTAGATATGACCTCCAGCCTGAGGTGCTGTAATGAGACATTTATGTGTGCATGGCTCTGTCTGTGTGTGCTAACAGTGGACCTCTCCTGTCTGCAGATTGTGGACTCTGGCATTTCTAAACAAGCCCTGAGTGAGATTGAATCCAGGCACAAAGACATCGTCCGACTGGAGAGCAGCATCAAGGAGTTGCATGATATGTTTGTAGACATTGCCATGCTGGTGGAGAGCCAGGTACACTCTTCTGCAGCCACATGCCCATCACTTTAGGAAACTCTCATTTAGCTCATTCATTTACTCTCTTTGTGTTCATCCTTAACTCTTTTCTGTGGCTTTGTGCTCAGTCCCGACTATATCAGACCTTTCTCCTGTGTATGTCTTTTCCTGCCTCTGCTGGGGTCTGACTGTCAGTCTGCATCCTGCCTCTGTTTCCTGTTTTCCAGCTCCATGCCTATCTTATACCTCTTTTTACTCTCTTCTGGCACTGTCACCTCCATCTCATCACCCAGCTTTGATGGAAACAACATGAATGCATTTAGTAAGCTGTATGAATTGTAGACATCAGCAGGCTTCAGTCTGGAATGAATACACACTCACTGTTGATCAGTCAGCCACTGTATCTACTGTATATGCGTACATAAGTATAACTCTATATTTCTTGCTGCATGCACCATGCTTTCTGAGAGAAAGGCTTTTTGAGGTAAGGGACATGCTCCTGCTCTTTGTGTTGTATGATTTCCCAGGAGAGAGTTGCTTCAAAGGAATTCAGCATGATCATAAATATGAATACCTCTTGACATGTACCCTGGCATTAAAAACAAATCTCCTCATGGAGTCATTATTGAAGCTGTCTAAAGATGTTTGCTTATGTAACAGTAGCTTTTGATCATCAGAAACTTCAAAATGGTGGTCAGTCAGCTTCTTGAAACCAGATGTATTATGTATTCAAATAACACCAGTCTACTGCCCGTTGTTTTTGCAATGTTTTGCACTTTGTTGTACTGATTGTTTTGTGGTTTCACAGGGCGACATAATAGACAACATAGAGCTGAACGTATCCAAATCAGTGGACCATATAACAGTGGCTAAGGAACAGACCAAAAAAGCTGTAAGGTACCAGACCAAGGCACGCAAGGTAATGTGATTTAGCCAACTGCTGCACCAGCCGCTTCTGGCCTCTTTATAGTTTCTTTTCTGCCTGTTGTCTAGACACAGTTACAGTTTTTTCAGTTTGACACATTTAAACCACACTGTGTACAGACGGAGCCCACTCCCTCACCCTGTACACACATTACCAGTCACATACGGCAGTTGCATCCTGTGTTCTTTGCTTTTTGTTTATCTGTCTTTCCTGCTATTTTTCTTCTTTTTGTTGCTTTTCGTCACCTCTGACACCGTGCCCCATGTTAGGGTGGGATAATTGACAGGATTGAGAGCAACATGGACCAGTCAGTGGGCTTTGTGGAGCGAGCCGTAGCAGATACTAAGAAAGCTGCAAAGTTTCAGCAAGAATCACGCCGTGTGAGTGACTCTCCTCAAAAACAGTGGTTCAGTTTCCCAAAAGCAGCAAAAATTGTTTTATTACAATATTTAAGAGGAAGTCAAAGAAAATTGAAACATGAGAAATGAAATGGACTAAATTGGACACCACAGACCAAAGTCACACTGAAGTCACATGCCTGGGTTAAGTTAAAGAATCCAGAATGTTGGACCCTGAGCTAACATGAACAAACACCTAGGATATCAAAGATGCCCTCTGCTTCTTTCAGTCTGAGAGTAATGAGCAGAAATTAAAGGTTATTGCTGAGACGGCACAATCTTAAACCATTAGTACACCTGTACTAATGCAGCCCCTTGTACAAAGGTGTCGTTCAGGCCGTGTTTAACTTTGGCCTAGACGGTGCAAAGTACTGCATGAGAAACTGCAGCCCGCTCAGATTTTTGACACAGCTGGAGTAGCAGACACAAAGCAGTCCATCAATAAGTTGGTGTTGGCTCAACCTTTGCTGCAACACCAATACAATACACGCAAGCACAAGTTACTTTGTTTAAAAGATAAAATGCTTATTGTTATGATAAAATGTGTTAATGAGTTGCAAGTTATGTTTGACTTCTAACTCGTGGACCTATTAGTCAAACTGGTTCTGTTGTGGGTCACATTTATTTTGTCTCACCAGTCCCAGAAACAGCACACCTGTACTAATGCAGCCCCTTGTACTTGTTTAACACCCAGTTAGCTTATGAAAGGTGAAACTGACTGGACTTCCTGCTTAACACATGACTGCTTTTGGGAAATCTGCCTGACAACATGAAGACCACCCTGATGTTCACCTTGTTATCTGTGGTGATCCTCAACCCTTCTACCTTTCATCCACCCTGTAGCCTGTGGACCCTTGTGCTCAAGCATCACTGTGACTTGTCAAGCACCAAGAACCAGAACCAAGAATTACCCCCCCCAATGTACACACACAGCTTCCACTCTTTTCTGTCTGTCCTTTCTCTTCCGCTTTAACACTAACTTTGTCTTTATTCACAGTGTAATTGTGACTGCTGCATTACACTAGTTATTCTTTTGTTTTAACTGTTTGAAAATATAGTTATTTAGCTTCTGGCTGTTGCACTGTGTGGAAAATAATTTTTATATTGACATGTTACAATAAAGTCAACACTGCTGTGTCAAGAGAAAACTGGTTTATCTAACTTCAGCAAGACTTTTGCACAGAGTTTGGGTGGTTACCAAGCTACGAACAGAACATATGGTATTTGATATGGCCAGTGTTGACATTTATACTGTACACCCTCTTATAAAACTAGCACACTATGTGACATAAGTTGTGGATACCATAATTGTTGCACATATGCAGACATGTATGAGAATGTTCCTGATGGTACTATATGAATTTGGTTGCTCCCAACAGAAAGTGGTGATAATAGTGGTGATTGTGCTGATCGTACTGGCCATACTAGCTCTTATTATCGGGTTGTCAGTGGGATTGAAGCACTAGTGATGAGCTGTTTGAGTAAGAGGAGAGCTAAAGGGTGAGTAACTCTGCAGCAAAGAACCTCTGTTGTTCCACAGTAGGTGTGGGTATGAGGCATGCTTTGGAAAAGGGTTTGCATGCTGTTTTTGGTAAGCTCTGTGTGTGTGTGGGGGTTTTCTTCCTGTCCAGGGGGTTTGCCTGAGGTGTGTTTGTGTGTTTTTGAAGTTCTTGGGTGTGTTTCGTTTCTCCTATTCTGCGGCACCTGCCTTTGGTTACAGCTTAACAAAGCTAGTGGTGAGTTAGTTGCACAGGGTTTGCGGTGGTGTTTGGTCTGTGGGCTCATTCCAGTGCATATGCACGCCATCATTAACACTATTCTTCCTGTGTCTCTCTGTGTCTCCCTCTCTGTAGAAGATGATCATTATTGGTGCAGTCTGTGCTGTGCTTGCTCTCATCATCCTCATTATAATCCTCACCCAGACACTTTAGCAGGACTGTGTCATGCTGCCGTCAGTAGTTTACTCATCAACCACTCGATCCTACTGTCCATCAGCTGGCCCACCAAAGAAAAGGCTGACACTGATCACTTCAAATGGATATTATAATATTTCACCCACAGATGTACAAATCAACAGCTTTTTTAAAAGAGACCTTATTTTTGACTTTTCAATTGCTTTTACCAGTCCCATCCCAGCCATTTTTACTGGTCGCTAAGGGTCTGTTTGACTCCCTCAGGCAGTTTGGACAGTGTGAGGATGCTCTGCTGCAGATGAGGAATTGAGACTGCAGCGGACCTGTCGATTCCCTGTGGAGGTGAAAAGGAAGTGAAATCATAATGTTTCACTAAACATTTCACTGTTCAGCGTTCAGTGCCAAAGACTCAGCCTGGAACAGTTTGTCATCTGAAATTCGTTTAAGTATTCAGCAAGTCAGACCCCTGTGAAACCGTCACCTCTCCTCATTATTTCTTGTCTTTGTGAGCCTTGACACATTTTGTGATTGCAGAGCTAGCTAGCATATGTTTAGTGTAACAGGATTTTATTGGTTTTGGGCAGTTGTGCACTTTTACATTTCAAAATGTTTATTTCTATAATTAAGCTCAGATGATCATGTAAATAATAGAACTGCTATTTATTCTGTGTTATGAATATCTAGTCCTGAATATGACTCCGCTTGGTAACTTGAAGAGGATCGGTGTGAACACTCATGATTCTTCAGTTTATAGAACCTGGAGGTTATTATTTTGGGTAGTGCTTATGGAAACACATTTCATGGACAAGAGAAGTTAAAATAAGGAAACAAGGGAAAAAGGCTACAGGGATAAATGTGTGTTTTTGTTTTTATTGAAGATTGATCTGAACAATGTGTCATCTAGGAGACATGCCTCGTACAGTGTCAGTCATCTTGATCTTTTAATGTACATATATAGGCGTGACTGTATCCCCTGTTAAAATGCTGTAACACCATAATGTTTTAATGACATACGGTGTCATGAGAGCCTGGTAGTAATACTAGTGACTTTGCTTGTTTCCCAAAATATTCTTTTTCATGACCGGCCGCTGCTAATGTCGCACATAGAGGACGGAGTGCAATTCAACACTCTAGCCTACAGTTATGCAGGTCTCCTTGCTGGTGGCCCTTTACCAGTGTGTGATGGCGTCCTGCCATATTTTAGGTCTCATAATATTTCTACTGTAAACATATAACTCAGTTTCCAGTTTATTATTTAATGGCTATCTGAAAAATGCAGTCTAATGCAACAGCCCTGTAATAAATCCTATGTTTACTGATGTTATATATTCGATGGTATTAATGAGAATGTTGTCAATAAACCAAACAGGTGATGGTAGGATTTATTGCAGGGCTATTACCACATTTATTTTAGCCAGGTGTGTCTGTTAAACTGGCTTTATGGTTGAGCACCACTAGACTTTTCCCCCCTTGTATTAAATATGTCACACAGACAGTTTATTGAATCACAGTGCACATGTAGTCACAGTGTAATGGTGTTATTAAAGCAGATGATTCCAGCTGTGCATATACATGTACTGTATCAAAGATGGTATTTTCACCTGTCATTATAGGAGATCCAAGGTGATCTGTTCTATGCAGGTATTGTAGCACAGTGACATACTTTGTAAAATGTCCTTTGTGTTATAAGAGCCACTGAAAGAAGTCTTTGTTTTTTTGTTGGACCAGAGCGTGAATTTTGTCCTTAGATCTGGTTGTGTAGGGAGCACGCACTTGTAAGAGAGTGGTTTGACCAGCATAGTTTAGCTTCTGTGCACAACAATTCAGTCCTAATGTTTCTGTTCAACACTTTTTCTTCATGCCACAAGCTGTAATAATAGGGGGAACAGAAAACAGTAGCTTTAGATTCTTAACTTAAGGTGCCAATGATTTTAATGGAAATTAAAGATTTTAAGTTTTTTATGACTGGTTGACTAGTGGTTCCTTATGACCTCCATGCCCGTCTGCCCTGCTGCCCTTTGTGAGTGATACAAAGTAAATGTGTAACAATTTTTTAACTTTTTGATGACTGCATGTTACGGTGGAGCAGTGTGAATGTTTTTTATGAATGCTGTCCTGAAGATTGCTGATATAGCATTTTGTAACTGTGATGTTGCAATGTACAGCTCTAAAGACTGCTGCACAAGTGTAAAAGAGGAGGTAAGTTTGGTTTACTTCAGTTTATTTTATCGCATTTCATCTCTTTACACACGCAGTCACACACCCTAACAACCACTGTGGCCCTGTTTTCTCCTTCTGTTTAATCATTTCCTCAAACTGGTGTGTCCATATATGTAGAAATAAGTGTAGAGTGTTTTGTCCCTGTATCTTTGGAGTCATAATCTTGATTTCTGTGACTGTTGTTATCTGACTACTGTCTGTTTTTGACATAATTTACAGAAAAAAATGATGATTACATTGTGCTGTGCCATCATGGGGATTGTTGTGTTCTCCTCTCTCTACAGCTTCTTCTCATAAAATGTTTTACACAGGTAAAACGGCTGCTTCACCATTTTACTCTATGCATTCTCGACTTCTAAACTAAACTGCTAAAGACAGTATTTTGTGTTATTGTGTCTTGTTCCCAGGAAAGAGAGATTCTCCACGCAAAGAAAATTCCCTCAGGTTCTCTCCCATTTTTCACCCCGACCATTATTTGACTGTTTAAATGTTAAAAATGTAATGATTTTTAAAAAGCGTCCTGTGTTGTTACCCTTTTAGCATACATCAGAACTGACATGATTTTCCTGCTATATGAAGTGTTTGTAAACGTGTTAGAAATATTTAGTTTTTTTTCTGTTCACAACCAGATGGTTTAACATGTGACTTAATCATTCTGATCGACACGTCTAGCGCCTCCTGGTGGTGCATAGAGAGTACAAAAAAAAAAAAAAACAATGACAAGGAAATTATTTGAAATTTGTTGAAACTTAAGTCTGATTATTTTTTTTCCCTTTGTTGTTTAGGCTCCAAAACTCCAATTATGCATATTCATATATTACGATCTGGTCAAATTAAAGTAGTAGTATTCTTATTTGTTATAATTCTGATATATTTTAGGGCAGTTGTGTTGTGTATTATCTGTATGCATCTATGATGCTGAAATGCATGATGGTCTTTTCTGTAACAGTGGGTATTACTGGCTGGCAGTTTGTCAGCTAAGTAAAGCCTGTTATGTAATAAAAGATCTCTGTGAGTCGTACGAGCTGCTGGTGTACGCTTCGCTTCTTGTGCTGGAGGTTTAAAACATGGCTCAGCTGATCGCCTGTTTGCATGGAGGGACCCATTCTCAGTGGGTTTCCACGACCCTGCGCCCTCTACTTTCAAGTTATTTGTTCCTGTTTTATGTATGAAAACTGCAGCTAATGTACAGTGTGACATCCGCATATGAGAAGCTCTTCTCTTCAGCTCGTTCTACTTCCCCCTCCAGCTGCTCTTCCTAACCGGAGGCAGGACCGGCCCGTCGACAGTGCGTGGGGCGGGGTCTACAAGGGTGCGTTCGTTTTCCTGCTTTGTGTCCGGAGGAAAAAGGGTTGGGGACCATAAAGAATAAAAGGGGGTTCCTTACTATGGCATTACAGTAGCCTAGTATGAAAATTAATAGTTGACTTTATTTTGATAATTCAATAGTTTTAGACCTTTTTTTTTTAAAGAAATGGTGTCGAATATTTGCTTTTACTGGCTTTTCAAATATGAGGATTTGATGCTTTTCACACATGGTAATAAGTTAAACATCTCTAGATTTTGGACTGTTCACACAAAACAAGACAGCTGAAGATGTCACCTTGGTCTGTAGGATATTATAGGCTAACTCTTTGAGTAGGCCTATTACTCAAGAGAGATTAAGCAGTTATTAAATTATTAGGTCCTACTTCTAGCCCTGATAATAATAACAATGATGTGTGTTGCCATATTGGTCCTAGGCATATGCAATTATGTGTGAGAATTAATTCAATCTGTGAATGTGTGTGTATGTCTGCGTCTTTGTATTATTTATATTATGGGGAAACCTGTTAACACACTCACTGTGGGGACCAGCCTCTGGTGAAAAGTCATTATGCTGCTTAGGTAAAGTACTGAAGTATAATCTTGAGATTGCTATTTGAACTATACTTCAGTTTCTGCATTGAATACTGCTTTATTTCTACATTAAAATGCTGCTTACATAATACATCATTAATAACTAACAAACGGGAGCGTTTTGCATAATGACTACTTTTGAAGCTTCAAATAGCTACGTTACGTTTGTAAGAATGCAGAAGCTTGCGGCAGGCCTATGCTTATTGTGTGGATTTGCCATTTTCTGTTCCCACGCTAATTTGAATATTATTTCCTCTTCTCTTGGGTTAATACAGAAGGTAAAGAATTCTACCCTTCAGCCGTCAAAACGGGGAAGCCAAAACAAGTACACTTGCATATTAACATATTCTAATATTGTTTAAATAGCATATGCAATGTCCAATGAGAGTTTCAAACCCAATTATATAGGGGGTGGGTCATGGGTTGGTTTTTTTTTGCGTGTGTGTATGTGTGTGTGTGTGTTTTGACCAGCTGAAAATGGCGGCTTGGAGCGTCGAATCCATCTAACTTTATCGCACAATAATAAACATAACCATATACAGAGCTCTTAGCACATAACATGGGGAGAAACTTTACTGAGCGGCCTTAGACCTTTTAGGTGGACAACATTGCTTTGACCACTACGGCTAAACGGATTTAAAACGCAGAGGTAATGATGAAAGCTAATGTCGGCTAGCTACCTAGTGTCAACGTTAGGCGACGACTTATGAAAGAGATTGTCAACTGAGCTTGTTCACGTTAGCCGATAACGCCAGTTAATAAGCGTCAGAAAATAGGCACGTCGGTTTATAGTATTCCTGTTAAAGTGTAATTGTTATAGACTGCTTTTTTTTCTGCCTGTACTGACACAAGTTCAATGTAAATGTATGTAACTGTGTTGCTAACCGTAGCTTGCTGGCTATATCGTTACTGTTAGCTAACGTTAGCAGGGCTGCCTAGCTAGGCTGTGCTCAGACCCTGCCTGTCCGACAGAATTTAAAAACACACTGAAACAGTTCAACATTGATAGGCATTTTAATCGGTGTCATTTAACAACACTCTCGAAACTTTGTTTCTTTTCTAGAGGTTATGGAGGACTCGCATACACGGTACAGTAAACGCCTGGTGAGTAACTTAACTAAACTGTTAGCTTCACGGAGAACTTGTTTTATGTTTAAACTAAAACTGTTTGTGTGTTTCTTCCAAAGTGTACGTCTAACGTCAGGCTTTTATTACACACGAAGCATCACAATTATTGTAATTGATTAGAACGGCCCACTTTCCTTTGACACACGGTGTTATGGCATTGGTCATTTCTGTTGTGTGTGGCCCCGTAATAACGGTATTGAACCTGTCTTAAAGACTCTGGGTTCACGAGAAGGTCAAGTTCACTGTCTAACCTGACAGCTTTTGTGCAGTTATCTTGCTTAGACTCACTACAGTCTTTGCCCTGTAAAGTAGTTAACTCGAAGCTTTTAATTGTGGAATCTTAGAAATATTGATACTGAGCTTGACGGAATTGGATCAAAAGGCACATTTCTAAATATACAGTGGGTACGGAAAGTATTCAGACCTCCTTTAAATTTTTCACTCTTTGTTATATTGCAGCCATATACTAAAATCATTTAAGTTCATTTTTTTCCTCATTAACGTACACACAGCACCCCATATTGACGGAAAAACACAGAATTTGACATTTTTGCAGATTTATTAAAAAAGAAAAAATGAAATATCACATGGTCATAAGTATTCAGACCCTTTGCTGTGACACTCATATATTTAACTTAGGTGCTGTCCATTTCTTCTGATCATCCCTGAGATGGTTCTACACCTTCATTTGAGTCCAGCTGTGTTTGATTATACTGATTGGACGTGATTAGGAAAGCCACACACCTGTCTATACAGGTATGTGCCAAAAAATTAGAATATCAAGGAAAAGTCCATTTATTTCAATAATTTGTTTCAAAAAGTGAAACTTGTATGTTATATTAGTTCACTGCACACAAAGTGAAATATTTCAAGCCTTTATTTGTTTCAATTTTGATGATTATGGATTAAAGACAAAAAAAACCCAAATCCAGTATTTCACAAAATTAGAATATCATGACAAAGTTCAACATTGTAGGCTCCCTGTGTCCCAATCTAGTCAGCTAATTAATGCAAAACACCTGCAAAGGTTTCCTCAGCCTTGAAATTGTCTCAGTCTGGCTTAGTAGGCTTCAGAATCATGGGGAAGACTGCTGACTTGACGGTTGTGCAGACGACCATCATTGACACCCTCCATAAGGAGGAAAAGTCTCAAAAGGCAATTGCAAAAGAAGCTGGATGCTCACAGAGCGCAGTAT